CGCGGCTCAGCAGGGGAGAGCCCCTGTGGGAACTGCCTGCCCTGGCGTTCCTGGTGGAGGTGAGCCTGATGGCGAGCGCTGCCTGGCCCAGCTGCCTCCCCCTCTCTGCCCTCTCACAGCTGCAGCCGCCCGGGACGGTGCCTGCACCCTGTGCTGCTGCCTGGGCCCAGCCCCGGGCGGGTCCGGGCTCCTGCCGGCCGGGCATCCCGTCACTGCTCCCTGCCTTTCAGGTCCTGCACTGCCTGAACCCCAGACAATGTGGGCCCAGCGTCCTGCAGATTATTTCCAGGCACCTGCGCAGTCAGTGCCCGGAGAGGCGTCGCCTGGCGCTCCGAGGCCTGGTGGTGCTCAGCAGGGATCCCACAATGGTGAGCAGGGGGCAGGGGCTGAAGCCGGGCCAGCAGCGTGCGGCTGTGCAAGGCAGTAGCTTGGCCTTGGCTGGCCTTTGGCAGCTGTGGCAGCTGCTCCCAGCTCTCCTCCTCCCCGTTCAGCTGCCCGACTCCTTTGGGACGCACCTTTGGCCTCTGGGCCCCGCGGCAGCAGCGTGGGGCTGCAGCACAGCATTGTGTTCCACACAGGCTAAGAGCATGCGGAGCCTGAGTGAAAGCCTCCTGGAGCTACTGCAGGATGCAGACACAGACGCAGTTCAGATGACCCTCTCCGCGTTCATCAACGTGCTGCACTTCCAAATCGTCATAATATCCACCCCCACTGCCCTGAAGTTGCTTGAGGCTCTGCGGCCACTCTTTGACAACGTAAGGCTCTGTGCCCCTCATCGTGGGCACTGAGTGCTGCCAGGAAACTTTGGGCCCAGTGTCTTTTCAGGCCTGTGCCCCAGTGGGCCTGGAGAAGCCAGTGCTGAGGTCTTTTCCTCTTCCTTTGCACCAGGAGCACAGCCAGCTGCAGCAGCTCTCCATGCTCCTCTTCCAGGAGCTGATGGAGGCGACAGAGAGGAGCAAGAGCCTAAAGCCACACGTGTACCTGAGTCTGGTGCCATTCTACTTCAACTGGCACAATGAGAACCAGCGTGTGGCAGAGGTGAGGACTCGTGGGCTCTGTTGTCCCCATGGCAGGAGGCTGTTGTGCCTCCTGCCCTGGCCCATGGTCGCCTGCAGCCTCCTCCTGGCCTTGGCACAGGGATGTGGGTGCTGTGCCCTGGGCTGCGGTGCCATGGCCCGCTCTCTGTTGCTGTGCAGGCCTCTTGGAGAGCACTGTTTGGTGCAGCCAGGTTCCTGAAGTGGAGAGATCTTGAGGACTTGGTGACCATGGAGCAGCCGTGGAGGTTTCCCGAGTGCCTGGTAAGGACGGCCCCAAAGCCCCAGCCCCTGATGCCCAATGTGTGGGGCTGGCAGGGTGCCTGTGTCCACTGCTGCACCCACAGACACCAGCCTGTGCCCCACACACTGCTCCCTTCCCTGGGGCGTGCGGGCTCTTTTCCAGGCTCCCTTGCCCCGCAACCAGGCTGCCATAGAGCCCCAGCCCAGCTGGGCTGTGGGGCAGGGCCACCCCACGGCTCCCCAGGAGCACCCAGCCCTCTGCTCCCCCCAAAACCCGACCCCAGCAGCTGCTGGCCAGGCCTCAGGGCTCTGTGGGCAGGGGAGCCCCATGCTGGGGGCAGGGAGCGCCCGGCCAAGGGGCAGAGCCTGAGCCGAGCCTTCCCTCCGTGCCCTGGCGCTCTTTGCAGCTGGAAAAGGACAGGAGCCGAGTGGGCCAGTACGTGCGCCAGGCCCTGCCGTTCCTGGAGAGCCCAGAGGAGCCCCTTCGAAAGCTGGCCATCAAGTTTCTGGGTGAGCCACAAGGTCCCTCCCCGCCCCGCTGCAGCTCGGCCCCAGCCCCGGCTGCTGCAGCGGCAGCAGGATGCGGCCCAGGGCATGTGGAGCCCCGAGTGGCCCCGAGCGCCTGCTGCCGCCCTGTGCCAGCCCAGCCCTGGGGCGTCCCCATGCGGGAAGGCCCCGGGCTCAGCCCTGCCAGGGCAGGAGGCCGTGTGGCCGGGCTGGCAGCGCCGCTGCGGGGGACCTGTGCCTCTGGGGCCTGACAGGCTCTGTGTTCCCAGGGATTGCCGCCAGGTCCATGAAGCAGGAGCAGCCAGAGCTGCAGCTCATCTGCCAGGGTGAGCGAGAGCACCTTCCAGCTGATCCCCTTGGGCCCTGCTCCCTCCTGGCCATGGCAAGAGCTGGCTGGGATGGCCCTGGCAGGAGGGGCTCCTCACGTCCCCACACCCCTGGCCTCTCACCTTGGCTCTCTTCCTTTCTCTTCCAGCCCTTCAAGACATGACTGATGACAGCCCTGCCGTCTCAAACCTGGCCCAGGAAACGCTCCACATCATCAGAGCTGTACGGAGAACTTCATTCTTCCATTTCTGGTAGTCTCCGTTGCTGCCTCTTCCAGCCCGTAGAGGTGTGACAGAAGACATCAGACTCGCCATGGCAGGCCTGGCAATTCAACACTGCTACGTGCCAAGAGCTGTCCAGATGGCTCCCTACTGCAGATTCCAGCAGCTCCAAGACTGGCTGTGCAGGGCGTGGAAGACCCGGCCTTTTCCGCAGGGCAGTGTCTGCCTGTGCTGCTGCAGCTCTGTGGAGAACTGATGCAGGAAGCTCCATCTCCTGGGGCCACCTGAGCCTGTGGGGAAGATGCCTCTTCCCTGCAAGCACCCCCTTTGAGCTCAGCATGGGAACATTACATCCATGTTATCACATACAGAAGCCCAGGAGGTTTTTTTGGTGCCCAGTGTGCACAGGGCCTTGGAGAAGAGGGGAAAAGGGCTCCTTGTGCTCAGCAACACTTGCCCCGCTGTGCAGTGTGCCAGCAAAAGTGGGCAGAAGCCCCTTGGCCTTTGGTGGCTCTTCTGGAGCCTCAATGCTTGCAGCAGAGTGGAGGGGCAGAGGCTGGAGCTGTGGGGAACCCTGAGCACCTTGTCCTTGGAGATGGCCACAAGCCCTCCCCAGCCAGGAAGCAGCGTCTGTGTCCTGCCTGTGTGTCACTGGCTGGATTGCTCCGGGCTCCCAAGTGCCTCTGGAGCAGCTCCTCTGGAGCTCCTTCAGGGCTGCACCACTGCTGGGCAGGTTGGCGGGGCTGGGGGAGACCCGCAGGGGAGGGGGCGCTGGGAGGCCAGGAAGGGGTGAGGTGCTGTGGAGGCCCTGATGGGACAAGGGAGAGGGAAGCCTTGAAGGGAATCTGTGAGGGGATGGGTGGCAGAAGGCTGTGAGGGGACAGACTGGGCGCAGGCCCCAAGGGGCAGGGTGGAGGGAAAGGCCCCCAGGACTTGGGGGGGCAGAGGCCACAAGCAGCCCCCAGGCAGCCACCTCCTTCCCTGCCAGCCGGCTGCTCTGGTGCTTTCCCGAGGCCTCTCCCAGCCCTGTGGCAGAAGCCCTGGAGGCCAGGCCTCAGCAGCAGGGTGGGCACACCCCAAGGTGGCCAGGCTGGCCTGGCTGGGGACAAGGAGGGCAAGGGGGCCCTGCCGGGGCACGTCCGCCGGGTGCTGCCGGCCAGGGGCAGTGGCACAGGCAGGGCTGGCGGCCAGCCCGGGCCCCCACGGCTGCCCAGGCCATGGGGCTGTGGCCAACACCCCCCTGAGCCAGAGCTCTGGGCCCGCAGAGCTGCTGCCACCACGGGCAGGGCGCTGGGCTCCTCGGGCAGGGCTGCGCACTCGCTGCTGCCCAAGCGGCTCCGCGCCCCACAGACAACAGCACCAGAGGCTGCCCAGGAGCAGCAGCACCCAAAACGCCTGGGCCTCCTCACCCAGGCACCCACACCCGCCAGGACACCAAAAATGGGCAGACTGTGGGCACAGTTGCACCCGCTTTGGCAAAAGGCTTCAGGGCAAGTGGCCACCACAGCTTTCCAGTGACTCCCCAGCCTCACAGCAACCCTTGGCAGCTTCAGCTGCAGCCTGACATCCTGACTGACTTCAGTGGCCCTGCTTGAGGCTGGACACGCCTTCTACACTCAGGTGTCCTTAGAGACTCTGCTGGGACACCAGCCTCGGGCTGCAGCTGCTCAACCTCTCCTCCACACAGGCACCTTCAAAACACGGGCATGGGCTTCTAAACTCTACGTCCAACACTTGAGGGCAACAAAGGAAGAAGCAGCAGAAGCTGAAGCAAAGCAGGGCCTCGTGTGGCGGAGCTTCAGGGATGGAGGGAAGTAAGCACTGTGGTGTCTGCTGAAGAGATGGCCCAGTTCACCAGCTCACACTTTGCTGCTGGACATTCCTCCCTTGGTCCTGCTGGAGCCCATTCCCTACCAGTGCACGGCCCTGCCTTGTTCCCGGATCCAATCTCCAGGATCCCTGGCAACAAGTGGGCCCTGTGTCCACCTGAGAGCAGAAACTGGCAGAACGTCTCTGCTTCCAGCACTTCTCTTGGCTGCTCCTGCAGGCGGGTGGCACCTTCAGGGGAGACACAGAACAGCTTCTCATCCCAGACTTCTCCCTGTCCCCTGCACTTCCCCAATGGACTGGACATCAGCTGCTGGCCACAGCTGAGCACACAGACATTGGAGTGTTGAACATGCGAGACTGGGCTGATTTTTTTTCCAGAAGGCAAGAAAACAAGCAAAATGAACACAAAAATCTTGAGAGTCTCTCTGTCCAATCTAATTGTCCTGTGAAACTCGGCAGCTGATGGTGGTTTTGTGCTGCTGCTAATCACTTCCACCCAAAAATCATGCCAGGAAGGAGCAACAGCTTCTGCCTTCTGACAGATGCCAAGTCTTGCCACCAATTGCTCCAGCTGCCACTCCCAACAGCCACCTGCAAGAGGGCAGAGCTCAGTGCCCCTTGGCTTTGGCTGCCCTCTGGCAGAGAAGTCCCCCAGGGGCACAGCTCTTTGGGGCAGGAGACGGGCAGCAGCCTTGCCAGGACATGGGGTGGTGGCAGGTCTCCTTGGGCCAGGACTTGCCAGAGGCTGTCCCTCAAGAATCCCGGGAGCAGGCAGGGAATGCTGAGCAGAGCAAGCCCTGCCCGGATATCCCATCGGGAAGACACTGTTCTAGGGGGAATTCACTGTGTCTACCAACTCTTCCTGACTGGCTTAATGACTCAGCCATGGTGTGTCCCTGTCACTCAGATCCCTTCTTGGCCGCACCTGATGTTGTGATTCATGTGACTGACAATACCTTTAACATCCCTGTAAATATTCCTTGTTATTTTAGTTGTATCACAGATCAAAATGTGTCTACCCTCCATTTATTATTAATAACTCCCATGGGCAGAAGAGCCAAACTGTGGCTCCCAGGGAAGCAGAAGCTGGGAGGATGATGCAGGATACAGTGAATGAAGGAAACTGTGAAATGCAGAAATCCTCAGTGGGTGGCTGATTGCTTGGATCATCTCTGCAGCAATCTCGGCAGCTGCCGCAGCCACGGCTCCTGCTGCACTGGCCATTCAGTGCAGGCCATGCCTGCAGTGCCAGTGTATGGGCACTGTGGCAGCACCAGGAGCAGGGGTTTCAGAATCTGTCTGGTTTCAATATTCCAAGTCCTCAGGAAGCGCATGGGACAAGCCCCAAGACAAGAAGCCCGGGTCCTGGCCCTCTTGGCCGTGAACTCTGCGTGTCCAAACAAAACAGGGGCAGAGGTGGGACCAAGCGGAGTCACTCTGCACCTGCACTGAGTTCCTGGGAATGCAAAGGGAGGATGGACCTTGGCTGAGTGCTTGGAGAGAGAGAAGGCTGTTTCTCCAAGTGGAAATGCACTTGAACCAGCCTGAATGACCAGCCTGTGTTTTCCTCTGGAGGCTGAACACAGCCAGCACATGAGGGGAGGAGAATGTGTGGGGTCAGGGCACTGCTTTGGGGCCATGCTGGGAATTCCAGTGGACTAGAAGACAAAGAGCGGGTGCTGCTCATGAGAGAAGAGGAATAAAAGGGGACACTGAAAAACGTTGACAGGCAAGTCCTGCAATGGAACTCTGTGTCTGCAGCCTCATTTTCTCATTCAGCGACCACAGGAGAGGGGGTAAAAAGTGGGGGTTGGGACCCCAAAACTGTTTAGAGGGAAACTGGGATGCTGAGGGGGGGTGGTGAAGTTGAGGGAAAAAAAAGAAATTGGGAGTTACAGGTATAGATTCTTGACAAAGTGGGTTGTCTGGGTGGGGTCCAACGTCCCCATGGGGGTCATTGGGCACAGGCAGGTTGGCAAAGGGGGTGGCCCCCCTGAGCTCCCAACTTCCTGTGGGGTGCTGGGGGCTGCTGGATCCAATCTCAGCCTTGGATCATGCCAACAGCTTCAGTTTAGAGGAATTAGAGAGGTGTGACTGAAACACTTTTGTCCCACATGTTTAATGATGGCAAATCAGATCTATTGATAGAAATGAATTTATTTAGGGTTACAAGTGATCAGACAAAAGATCTTCATCAGAATTATTTACTGCACAATAGAAACACTAAAACTACCAGGACTACAGAATAAGATAGGACAGTGCTCTACACTAAAGCAATTGTTGAAGCAATTCTACTCAAGCTGGCACAAAAGCAAGAATTCTTAATTAGAGATGGATGGAACTCCCCCAGAGCAACGCTCGTGGGGAGATCTCTGCTCTCAACCTCCAGCAGTGACCCTGGGGGGGTCCCCAGCCAAGGCAGGAATCTCCACACACCCCCCAAGAAGGGTTCTGTTGGAAGAAGCTGCCCCTGTGAAAGGGGACAGGCCCTTTGTGGTCAAAAGGGATGGAGTGACAGTCACTGGACTCCAGGGGTTGCCTCACCATCAGGGGCTTCATTCGGGGTGGAAGCAGCGGCCGAAGCTCTTCCCGCAGTCGGGGCACTGGTAGGGCTTCCCTTACTGGTGGGTCCGTTGGTGTTGGGTCAAGGTAGAGCTCTTGGTGAAGCTCTTCCCACACTCCCCACACTTGTAGGGCCTCTCCCCTGTGTGGATGCGCCTGTGGGTGACAAGATGGGAGTTCTGGTTGAAGCCCTTCCCGCAGTCGGTGCAGCCCAGACAAAAGGTACCACCACAGAAAGGTCTTGCTGCCCAAGAAGTGCCCAAGCTGCCCCACCAACTGTACCTCCAAGCCAAAGCTTCCAGGCTTTCTTTCCTTGAGGCAAAGCTGTTGTTTCTTTCTTTTCAGAA